GGCTCCAGCCAGGAACCCTGAGAAACCCCCCGTGGCAACAGGACCGGGCTGACAGGGCAGCCTCTGCCAGGGAACCCCCAGCTGAAGTGGGGCTGTGGGAGGTGGGTGCCAGAATCCCCAATGGCAGCAGGGCAGCCCTTGCAGGTGGCTCCAGCTGGAGAACCTCTAGCAGCAGCAGGGTGAGTGGTGCTGGGTGGCCCAGCTAGAAACCCCAGAGAATGCTCTGCGACAGCGGGACTGGTCCAAATGGTCCCTGACAGGAACCCTGGGAGACCCTGGGGCAACGGGTGGGCAGCAAGATGGGAAGCTGTGCCAGGCCAGCTTTAGTGTGGCCAGTTGTAGGGCAGGGCGCCCCAAGGAGAGGAGCCCAGGAGCTGGGGCAGCCAGCAGGGGAGCAGTGACCTTCTCTAGTCTGGCAAACTCCCTGGTCTGTCTCAGCTCAGGTCTCAAAGGTGGTAGACCAGGTAGGTCCAACCTATAGTACATGAGTTTCCAGGATGGGCATACACTGCAGATAACATTTACTTATTGGTAAGGATATGATTCTGTGATGGGAGTCACTGATTGCTTTATTTTCCGGTAGTTCCATGACTTTGTCTGGGGAAGGGCTGGAGCAGTGGCTGGTGGAAAAACTGCCAAGGGAACAGCAGACAGGCAGGTGGCTACTGGAACAGCTCACCATCAGTCAGCCCTTGGGCCACTGGAACAGTGTCCAGGAGGCTGCCACAGGAACAGCTTGACCAATGGCCAGCCCCATAGCAGCTGACACAGATGACTGCCAGTCAGCCTCAGTGCCACAGGAGCAGGGGTCCCTAATCCGCCGTAGCAGCAGTTGGAGTTACCTCATTGCTCTTTCAGGCAGGAGTATGTGTGGTCAGACCCTGGCTGCACTTTGTCTCCACCCTTTTCCCAGGCTATTTTGAGTAAAATTCAGAGGCAGGTAATGGGCTTCCATGATTTTGTTTTGTTTGTTTGAAACCTGTTCCATGTTATTACTAAAAATACCTGTGACAGAACATGAACCTTACTTATTGGTTTTACGTTTTGTTGACCATTTAGAAAATTATTCTGCCAAAAGCTGAAGTTACATAACTGTTTATGTATTTAGTTATTTCAGTTTTTAACGTCTGTAGTTCCAAAGCTCTGAGACACTTTGAAAATCACTAATAGACCTATTACCTCAAGATCCAACACGGTGACAAAATAAAATTAAATTTAAATTCCTTCAAAGAATCCTCACCTGAGTCCCAGGAATTCTGCTCCCTAACCATATTACAGGTGGAACCTCTCTGGTCCTGCGCCCTCGGGACCTAAGCATTCTCAAACCATGCAGTTCATTGGATCAGGGGATGTCAACACTCCCCTCCTGGCTGTTGACCCTGCTCTCAGGTGCCAGCCCAGGCCACTGGGCTCTTCTCTTAACCACTGTTATTGGTGCATTCTCTGCTGCACCAGCCCCACTGCCTCTGGGCCCTGGCTTGGGCTGCACTAATGGCTCTGGCTATGGCTCTCTGGTCCAGAAATACCCATGGTCCTCCCTGGATTACAGGTGTTGCTGAACCAGAGATTCCTGGATTTTAGAGGTTAAACCTGTATCACACATCTGCTTAAGGGACAAGGCAGCGAAGATGGACCTATTACTGACATTGTGTAGTTAGGTTTGCCTTACATTTCTGTTTATAAGCTTCTTATTTACTTGATTGTAACTTCATCAAATTTTAACCATTTGAGCTGAAATTTTCCGTGTTTTGCTTTCTGTCTTAAATTATTTAGAAGAAATTTAGCAATAGCCAAATGAATCATATTGCTTAGATGGAAGAGCAAACTGCCTCTGGGATAGAAACTTGGCTCAGTGACTTGGCTGACCTAGCAGCAAAATGAGGGGTAATGTTTAAGAGAAGGAGGACTTCAGACAAATTTGAAAAGATCTGAGTTAAGCTTTTGGAAACTTTTGATTAATTCCTAGCAGATGGAAACTGAGATGTATCTCTGCTTTTTCTTCTTGCTTTCCTTTTTCCACTCTTACCCCTTTCTTTACTTTTTTTGTTGTTTTGTCCTTTTTGTTTCTTCCTGGTTATGGGGAAGAACTAAAAAAATCAATAAAAACAAAAAAGCAAAGATTCAGCAAAACAGCCCAGTTGTTTCTCAGAGAGCAGGTGAGCAAAAAAAAAAAAAAAAAATCTCTGAATAGTAGTAGCGCCTCCTCATAGTGCAAGAACTTGAAATTTAATGATAGTTTTAGGAATAGGGAAGTGCCTTTTGTGGGGCTTGTGAAAATCCACTTAGATTTTGCTAGGTTTTAAACATCTCCACTTTTCTATTAGCATGTGATCTGATAGAGCTCTTTATTGGTATGGTGAACACTCCGTCTACACTGAGTTATCTCTTTAGCCCAACAGAGATTGAGCTCCATGCAGTTGCCATTCTGGCTTATGGAAGGATCTAGGGAGGGATCATGAATTCTAGACCCAGCTCTTGTACTGACTAGAAATAAGATTTTTGTGCACTTCCAGTCTCGTCTTAATTGAGCAAGACCTAACTTTTGGAGGCAATCAGTATCACTCGGTCTGTTTAACAGAGTAACTGAAAGTCTATGTAAGAACCTGAACCCAGTCCTCAAACATGTCAATTATAAATGGCATCCACAACTGCACACTTCTTTATAATAAATGTATCTACTTGCTCAGCAGCTGCCTGGGTATTCGCATCCCTTAGCATGCATGCTTGCCTTTTAGGCAAAGCCTTGGCTTTTGTCACACAATGATGTGGTTGAACTCTTCACTCCTCTTCCTTGTTGCATTAAGCAACAGGTTGGAGCCAGGTGTTGAGTCCAGGGAAACAGCAAGCTACAGAATGGACCGCTGCTGCCTGGACTCACTCTCCAACTCCCAGAGCCAGCACAGTGGGGAAGGATGGAGCCAGGGTAAGCGTGGGGCTGGGCAGGTTTATTCTCCAACCTCTGGCCCAGGGGGCAGGAGCAAATCCACTGCTGCTCAGAGTTGAGTGCAGGATTGGGCAAACTCATTCTCAAATCCTGGAGAGGAGCTGCCATGGCTCAGAGAGACTGTGGGGCCAGGAGGGCTCAGTTTCCAGCTTCTGTGAGACAGGAGACTTTGCTGCCCGGTGTTAGTGGTACTCTCTATCTCGCCAGACCCTCCTTCTGTCTCACAGATTTCCCTTCCACACTTGGCTGAGAGAGAGCTAGGTCCAGCTCTTCCAAACAATATTTTTACCCTCCACCTGTGATCTTACTGTTTCAGTTTTTGTTCAGCAAATTGTTGTGCTTGCTTCCAGAAAAACGTGCATCATGTCCCTCTCTACTGGTAGATTGATAAAGATAATAGCTTACTTCTACCCATAGGAATTGATTGACTTTGGAGGGATGGGGGGTTTAATAGCATTAACTGTAAGTATAGGCCTAACTTATGGATGTACTGATTGTTAGTGCTACTTAAAAATTACAGTGTACATAGTGAGTGAGTCAGAGTCAGAGACGGTGCTCCCTCCCAAGTTTCTTTATATGGGGCTGGCCTGAGCCACCTGGCATTGCTGATTGCTTCCCTGAATGTTTTTCTCCACTCCTTGGGCTCAACCCACAGTTGAAAAACATCTGCTGTGCAGTTGGGAGGAAGAATTTCCTTCCATGCCACCCCCCCCCCAAAGCCCCACCCATGCTTCTGTTGTCATTTACTACTTTACCTCAAGTAATGGAGCTCTGTGTTGAGATTTGAAGTTCTTGGATTCAGACCTTGCTGATGTGCTGATTAATACGCTTCTATATGTCGGATTTTCTGTTTTTCCAGATATATTTTTAAAAGACTTAAGGTTTTTTGTTTGGCGTTTCCTATGTTAAAAGTGTATTTAAGTTGAAAAGTCAAGCGCTCAAGTTAGAAAATGCCAGAATTTAAATACAGTAGTCCATATAACCTTAATTGGGTCCGTTTCTGTAAATGTATTATAATATGATTGCTAGTTACATTAGAGCAGACAATTTGTTCTATAGCCCTGGGTTATCCTGAAGTCTTCCAGGGATATATTAGTTCCTCTACATATTTGGGAGTACATTAGTTCCTCTACATATTTGCCTACTTACCCAACAGGCTACATAAAAAACAGTAACTAAATACAAACTAAAATTCCATACGATGATTTGTTCATGCTGCCTTACATACTATGCTTTAAAATGTAAGTACAATATTTATGTTCCTATTGATTTATTTTATTATTATATGGTAAAAATGAGAAAGCAAACAATGTTTCCATAATAGTTTGACTGTGACACTTGTGTATTTTGTCTGATTTTATAAGCAAGTAATTTTTAATTGAGTTGAAACTTGGAGCACATAAGACAAATTAGACTCCTGAAAGGGTACAATAGCGTGGAAACTTTGGGAGCCACTTTTCTACAGGATTCACACTTGAATATACTGGATGGTCACTTTTCACCCACTTTTTCCCCCTCTCATCTTCCCATTTGTCCAACTTTTTCTTACCATTTTTGGTAACTGTTCCACAGCTTTGTTGTCTGTGCACCTCATGCTGCATTCAGTGCCGTACAGAGCAGGAAGAGATAATAAAGGAAAGACAATGGAGATGAAAATTAAGTGATATGCATACAAAAGAGCTACTTGCAGAGTTTTGTGTTCCACTGTGTGGATAGCTTAAAAAAACCCCTCCCATTAAAAATGACCTATTCTGGGGCAGTTAAAGAAGGAGGCTAGACCTGACTGTACTATTACATAATTTAAAATCTGTTACAAGGCTGACAGTAATTTTATTTTTAAATAATTACTCTCATCTTCTGTATTAAATATTATAAAATTTGGGCAAGTTCCTCAACTGATATAAATTGGATAACTCTGAAGTTTGTGCGGCAATGCTAGTGAATATCTGTTTATATTTAACCAAAACAGGGAAAGAATGTTAGATTATAAATACTCAGAAATCTGTGTTGTGTAGTTTATTATTGTTGCTGATATTCTTTTCCCCCCCTCTTGTAGGATAAGAAGGACAAGGTGTCCAGGTTTGAAACGAGCTCCAAAATCCATGCTGGGCTTTTCATCAGTAAGTAGTATTTACAATGGAGTGTTCTTCTGTCCCACTTTTTGCAAAGCAGATATATGATTATTTTTAATACTACCACATACATGCAAAATATTATATTAAAATAGCATTCAGAAATCGTAAGTTCTGACTGGTCATTAGACATGATAAAACCATGACATGACAGAGTCTGTCAGAACTACTTTTAGTTAATTTCATCAGTAAGTAGTATTTACAATGGAGTGTTCTTCTGTCCCACTTTTTGCAAAGCAGATATATGATTATTTTTAATACTACCACATACATGCAAAATATTATATTAAAATAGCATTCAGAAATCGTAAGTTCTGACTGGTCATTAGACATGATAAAACCATGACATGACAGAGTCTGTCAGAACTACTTTTAGTTAAGTCCACTTTCCAAACATTTATCAAGTGCCTTTTCCGTTGCTCCAGGACATTGTTATAAAATGATAAAAAAAATCATTTTTGTAGAGCATTAATGTATTGACTGACTGACAGTCTGTTGCATTGTGTATTCCTTGGTCAATCTGGTGGTATAATGTATCCCTTACATGCCATCTCAAAACATTTACACCCCTTACTAAATACAGTTATTACCGATATTGATGCATGTAGGAGCTCATTGATTTCTGAGGTGCTGTTTGGGACATCTGGTATTCTAGAGCCTGATCCAAAGTTCATTTCAATCAATGGGAATTTTTGTATTTTTAAAATAGGCTCTGGAGCAGGTTCTTAAGCAGTGGAGAAATGCTTTTGAGGCCTGGATGCATTCAGGCTGTTGAAAAATAAAAATCGGAGGAGGGAAAGGAAAACAAGCTGTGTGATGCTTGCTGATCTACTTTGAAGTATGCACTAAAATTTATATCAAGTGCTGAATTGCATACATTTCACTTAGATGTCTAACTTTATTTTAAAATGGTTCTCTTCCAAAGCTTAGCTGAGGACTCTCAGCTGGCGAAGGGCAAATTTATTGCTCCAGAAATTTAAAGAAGGCCCAAACAAACCTTGTAAGAACTTGCAAATAAAATTCTCCTTTGGGTTGATGTGAGGTGAGGTGCGATTGGTCACCCTAAGTTTCAGCCCAAAAGGAAGCTTATTGAGAAAGAGAGTGGTGTAGAATGAATGGACTTTATCAGTAGTCAGTATTGTATCACTACCAAGTAAGGTGTAATTTATCTACACCATAATTGAAATAGATGTGTTGGAGAGATGATAAAATACATCTATGTGTCTGAAGAGTATAAATCATAATAAAGAGGAAGAATTATTTAGGATGGTCCAAACAAGGATATAAATAGCAGTAATGGGATGAAGTTAAGAAACGGAAATGTTAGGCTCAGTAATGGAAAAATCTCCTTGAAAATGAGGGCTAGTCTACAGTAGAAGCTCTATAGCGGCACAGCTGCACTGCTATAGTGCATCTGATGAAGTTGTTTTATGCCAACATTAAAGGAACATTATCACACCAGCACTTAGGCTGTGTCTAGACTACACAGTTCTTCCAGAAAAAGATATGCAAATTTCAAACCACAATTGGTGTGGCTTTTTCTGCCTTTTTTTGGGGGGGGAGGGAGCTTTTCTGACATTTGGCCCGTCTACACTGGTCCAAATATGGAGAAAGCCCCATTTTTCTGAACATCCCTTCTTCCTCATAAAACGAGGTTTACAGGGATGCCAAAAAAATGCATCTGCTCTTCCAAAAAAAAATTCGGAAGGGCAGACATGTTCCTTGGATAGATTGGTGCAAGTTATGTCACAGAAGGGTGTTCTTTATTCACTCCTTGGGTGACTTAAATTATACTAACAGAATCTGGAGTGTCCTCAGATATATTAGTTTGTGGGATAATTTTCCCAGGAAAACGGTGAAAGCTGCATTGCTTGAGATCTCAAAAGCTATACTAGATCTTCACTACACTTAAAGGAAACAAATCTTTACCAAAGAGAGATGAAGTATCTACATTATATGGAAAGCTCTTGTAACTGTCATAATAAAGCAATATTTTTCATGTGTTCATAATTATAATAATTATGTTCGTACCATATAATGCAGTGAAACTTTAATTTTTATGGTATGCTCCAGAAAAAGTGTATTACAAACTATTTTAGAGAATGAAATAATAGATAAAAATGGAGAGAGAAACTCAGATTGGAAGTGCATTTTGAAGTGAAATTGAGAGTGAAACGTGTCTACGTTGAAGTTTATGGCAAACACCTATTTTTTTCAGTGGTGTCAACATTTTACCAAGAGACTCTCTGGACTTGACTCTGATCAACTACTCTTATGTCAGTTGAATTATGTTTAAGTGAGATCAGAATCAGGGCCACCATGGCAGGAAGATGCAGGAAATCAGTTCCAAAAGGCTGGAACAATAGAGAGGAGAAGAGAAGAATAGGGTCTATGAACAATATTCTGGAGAAGGGCAGTAACCTAATATATGTCCTGTATCTTACTGCTTATACTTTGTCAGGAGTGGGGAACTTTTTTAGGATTGGAGGTATCTGACCTATAGAAAAGTCAGTCAGGGGCCGCACACAAGTGAGAAACAAAAAAGGAAAAAACAAATCCTCATTGACACAGTCCCCAACTGAGGAGAAACACACTCCCCACATTCCCCTCACACATCAGTGCCTAGTAGATTTTTTTGTGCTCTAGCCCCACAAGGAGGCAGTGAGGGCTGGAGTGCCAGTGTGAGCTCCCCAGTGCTGGGGAGGAGGTCCTGAGCATCAGGGACTGGATTCAGGCAAGCCCGGGGCCACATCTGGCCCCCAGGTCTTAGGATTCCCACCTACTAAATTAGAACGTATCACCCACCCAGCTGCACTTCTTGAGTATTTTTGTTATGTGTTGTGAGTTAATGATTTAATGCAACCTTTCAGTAATAATTACCATACATGCATGGATACAATTTCCATTGTAATTTTGTAGCTAACTGCCACAAAAACTAGTTACTGACCATTAATTTTTTTCTTGCTGCCCTTTGTGGCAGTGCTTCTTGAAGTGAAGATTGATTGTTAGAATATGGGCATTTCAAACTTGATGTGCATTTTCCCCAGTATTCTAGGTATATTACAATCACTGGAGTATATTACGGTATATAAGATGCCAGATGTATAATAAAACAACATAATATAACACATTTTAACTGAAAGACATACTCATATTTTCAGTAGTAATAGAGATGTAGCCGTGTTAGTCTGGTCTTGCTGAAATAAAAGACAGGACTATGCAGCACTTTAAAGACTAACAAGATGGTTTATTAGGTGATGAGCTTTCGTGGGCCAGACCCACTTCCTCAGATCAAATTTTCAAATCATAGCATTTAAAATTAGAAGAAAAATGCTGTTGATGCTATTACAGAACATATTTCCATTAAAATATCATTCTAGCTGTTTGCTTTCCAAGTGTACATTTTCAATATTTTAACAAGCTATGTGAAAAAAAAAATCTTGGTTTGAATACAGTATTATAGCAATGTCCACAGTTAGTGAGAGGGAAATATAGTTATTGTCATGCATAACCAAAGACAACCTTTTATTTTTTTTTAGTGCCCTCCGGAGAAAGTAGCAGAGAAACCTTGTACTTCCTCAAACACCCAGGAGTTTAGTAAAACTCAGGTTAATTATCATGCATTTGTTAGTATTTAGATGTCTTATAGTTGTCAAGGTCTTTATGTGCTTTGTCTAATCTGTTAGATGAAAAGAGGAGGGGACACAGGTGATTACAAAGTCAGTCTCTTATTTAATACTTTACTCTGAAACCTTAAGAAATGCTTAGCTGAGTTTTTATCTCAGAAACATTTGGGAATTACTAGTAGAGCTGCAACCAACAGAGAAGAGAAACGACACCCTGTAGTACGAGACTGTATGTGATGGTACAGTATTACAAAAAAGCTAGGAAGCTGTTATAAATAGGCAATTGAGGATTCCTTCAGTAAGGGGTAATTTTTGGCTGTGATAGAGATTGCATATACATTGTATACAACCCTTTTCTATTTCCCCTGGCATAGCGGTATAGTATTTTGGGCCTTGGTCAAATTGTTCTGTACTCCAGCAGACTCAGTAAATATAATAGCCTCTTGGGAATTTGTATATGTCTCCATGGCAGTTGGGTGTGATTCCACGCATGGGTACACAAACTCACGCTAGCGTTACTCAAATTAGTGCATTAAAATATCAGTCTGGATGTTGCATGCCATATTGAGTAAAGCTAGCACAAGTCTGTCTGCCTGCACTGGGCATCTCACTCCTGACTGCAGTGCATATATAATCTTATGGTCTTAAGGTAACTTAGAGCAGCTTGAGGGCTTCTCCATGAAGATACGGATGGTGGAAACCTAGCCCCAGAATAGAGGATGCATACGTAACTTACTGAAAGCAGCTGAGGATCTGCTTCCAGAATCTAATACTTTTATAGCATGGACTGCTAGCTGATGGCTATCGCTCCCATTCACTGTTATACAGACTACCTCCCCTACCATCTATAAGCTCATAATTATGATAACAGCAATAGCTTCTTTGGTACTTGGAATGAGTTTATGTATTTTTCTTAGTTGTTTTTAAAGGTATTTGGCACCTGGGAGAAGAGACACACCATTGTGTTATGAGGCAACTCTGTTACCAAAGCCAGAATTTCACAGCTTTTCTGGTGTATTTTGCTCTAATACCTTTGGACAATGGATAAGAAAGGGTGAAGATTGAGACAGATATGAGATGGTTTATAGAGGGAAAGTAGAGAGGATGAAAGGAAAACGAAGAAAAGGTCAAAACCCAAAAAGCAGGATAAGTAAGACAGAGTAGATGGAAAAGAGAAGAGAGAGACTTCAACAAATCCCAAGAGAATGGCTTTTGTCACAATAAAACTAAATCAGATGTCCATAAACGGATAGAGCAGTAATACAAATGTTTGTACTCTGAGGTTAGAAAACAAGGATTAATTGATAAACCCTTACCTCTCACATTCTGACCCCATAGTCTACTCAGTAGTGGTAGGATACTGTCCTATTTGAACTAGTATGTGAATGAACTGAACCTTGTAATAGGCCCAGTTGCCCCTCAAGTTCAACGTATTCTTTTTCTCTCTAAGAAATTCTGTACTTTTTGCAGATATCTCATAGTAATTATGTTTTAGTCCCTTACTGTTTTTTTTTAAATCAACTTGGTATTAGTGTTTATATAGTGGATGATAGCTCTTATGAAATTCAGCTCTTTAGGATTAGAAAATACTTTTAAAATATTGTTCATATCAGTGTTATCTTATTTTGTGGTTTATTTAATTTTGCTTTAATATGCAGTGTTTTGTGAAATGCTACAGCCTCTTTGGATTTATAAGTCCCTTGATCTGAAGTAGCTATTGGCCTCACATGGTGTATTGCCCCGTAAAATAATTAATTAATTACATTTGAATGTGCCTAATGTCAGTAGAATTATGCTGTCTGGGCTAAGAAAAATGTTAGAGGGAAAATTCTTAAAGGATCAACCTATTTTTTTCTATTTTTACTAATCCAAGAATATGCCCTTCTTTTCTCCACAAAGGAATTAAAATATCTTCCTAATAAAAATACAAACTCTTCATTGCTTCAAGAGCACAGAATAAAGCAATTCAGGTTGAACCTCCCAAATCTCGGACTCTCTGGTCTGGAAACATCTGTGGTCTTCCTGTACCAAAGAGCCCTGGAGGCCAGGAGTGGGAGAGATAGTTAGGAGCCCCAGCTGGGCCAGCGGCTGGGAAGCCCAGTCCCAAGGGGTCCCGACCCTAGCTGAGAACCTCTACGGCAGTATGGCAGCCTACAGAGTCCCTGCCCCGGCAGGGAACTCCCAGCAGCAGCATGGCTGATGGGGGAGTCCCCACCCTGGCTGGGAATCCTAGCAGGGACCAAATCTGGCAGCCGCTGGGAAGCCCCAGCATTGGTGGGGGCCGGTGGCAGCTTGGGAGCCTTGGGCTACAGGGCTGCAGCAGCCAGTGACACCCTGTGCCAGAGAAACCCACAGCCCAGAGAGGAGCTGGCCATGGGCATGCAGACAGCAATGGCCTCCCCGGTCCCGCAAACTCTCTGGTTTGGAACTGCTCAGGTCCTGAGGATGATGGACCAGGGAGGTATAACCTATACAACAAGTTTCAACTAACTATATGTGATAAAATGGAACAAATGTAAATTATTAAGTAAAAGAGTATCATTGAGGTATTTGTGGGTGGAGGGTTGCTATCTTTTTAAAGAGCACACATTGCTCAGCAACCGTTACACTGAAAGTCAGGGAGCTACATGTTTTTTTCAGGGTCCTCTTGTTTCTCAGTATGTTCAAAGGTAATTAGGGTAGGACATGTCTAAAAAAAGGTTGAGTCCTTTTTGGGCAGAACATTTTGCCCAGTTTTATTTCTGCTGTTAGTATGAAGTTGAAATAAGTTTTACTCTAAGTTCATATGAAAGTGAAAAGGAGGAGAGGATCCATAAGGGAGAAAAGGGAGATTACTGTGTATATATAAGGGGAGAGGAAAGAGGGATGTGAGGGAATCCCCCCAAAATTCCAAGGTAAAGTATGGGCAACCATAGAAATCCTGTAATGGAAGAAAGGAAAGAGAAAGAGGATCAGACAAAGAGAGAATAATAAGTAAACCCATAATTAGTGTGAATGATACATTTCAGTTTATTTCAAATAACATTTAATTTTATGGTGATGGTGAATTTACAGTAAATTTCCGATAATCCGGCACCTTTAGGACCCAGGGGGTACCGGATTTTCAGATATGCCAGATTATCGGAAGGGGGGGCTATGAGGGGTCTGGGATAGGGTGGAGGGATGCCACCCTAGATCCCTCTTAGCCCCCCCTCCTTCTGATAGTTGGGCTCTGTCCCAGGCATCCCCGATTCAGCCGCTGATGGTCAGTTTCAGCAGTGGCTGTACCAGGGATGCCTGCGGCAGAGCAGCTCGGGTGCTGCCGGGTTGGTCCAGTAGCGCCGCCCCTCAGCGCTGTGAGACCAACCCATCAAAATGTTATACCAAATAAAAGCAAGCAGGATCTTATGAGGGGGATAAGGTAAAAAGCCACATTTATTGTAAAGATAATAATAAAAAAATAAAGAAAAGATAGAAGCAAACAACGTTGTTTAACTACTTAACCCTTAACATATAAACATTCATTCATTCATTCATTCAGGTTCTGTGTATTTGTTATAGTTACCAGCCTGGAAGTTGCTTGTGACAGAAAGCTGGCCAGGTCCTCTGTACACAAGTGATGGTAGTGGGGAGCGAAGTCCTGATCAGATGCGCATCTGAAGCTCCTGGTAGGCTGGCAGCAGAACCTTGGACTCTGATTCCATAGTTTTTTAGTCCAGTTCTTATAGGAATTTCTTCCTATGCCAGTCTATGGAAATTGCTGTATCATGCTGATGTCTCCAGGGTGGCTGCCAGGTGCTCATCAGTGATCTCATCGGGTGGACCTCCAGTTTCTCCACTTGACACCTTTTGGTTGCACTGGCACCTGACGCCTTCTTCAGCCCTTTGTTGCTGTATTCTCAGGCTGGCACCTCTCAGAACCATTCACTCATCATCCAAGCACTCTCTCATACATTCATACAGTATTTTGTATAATAATAAAAGTTGTAGTTACAGAAAGTTTCTGGGTGGTATTGCTTAAAACATTCTCTGAGTGCTGAATAAAGTTACAATGTTTTAAAGAGAACAGGCCTCAATTAAGTAACAATGGCCTTAGTCAATTACAGGGCTTGGCTCCCATAGCAGAGTTAGTGGCTTGACAATGCATTGTTACAATGTATCTCTGCAATGTCAATTTCAAGCAGCCCCTTGCACAAGCTTGAGCATGCCCTGGAGCACAGAGGGGGGGAGGGGGCTGTTTCTGGCTACATAGGATTATATTCTTAACAGTTCTAAGTTACATGACCTAATACATTATATTCTAAAGGGACAATAATAATCATAAATCTAAACATTTAACAATCTTAACAAATAATAATAATAAGAAGAAGAAGAATTAATAATAAATCTAAACACTAAGTTGTGGGGAACAAATTATGGGGAGTCACTTCCATTTGGAGGAATCATTTTCAATACATTAATATGTTATCCCTACAAGGTCATGTAGTGGCTGCCCAGATGCTCCTGTTGTGGGGCAGCTACCTGCCACGGTGGCAACTGCTCTGTCCCCGGCATCCCTGATTCAGCTGTTGGTCAGTTTCAGCAGTGGCTGAATCAGGGAAGCCAGGTGCAGAGCAGCTCCAATTGTCCGGCTGCCCGGAGCACTTCCAGGTTCCTGATGGTGCCGGACTATCAGGAGTGCCAGAGCATTGGATGCCTGACCAATGGAGTTTTACTGTACTTAGTAAAAGAAACTCAGAAATAAAACCTTCAATTTAAATATTTGAATTCCTGCATTAGAGAAAGAGAGAAACTATGTGTGTCAGTTAAAGACAGGCAAATATCTTCATTCCTTAAAATAAAATCTGAGTCTTCGAATGTCAGTATCTTAGTTTCTTATTTGTATTATCAAGCAAATGAATATTTCCTTAAGTCTTATTTTACATCAAACATTGTTTAAGGAAAACAGATGGGAATTGTAAAATAGTGAAACAGAAATGACTTCTTTAAAAGGGAAACGTTTT